CCGCTTTTCACAATCTAAAAGCGGCCTTTAGCCATACTCACTCACTCACTCAACCTGATTATCTCGTAACTATGTCGTCCACTGATCGACACTTTCTTTATTCGTACCGGGTTTTTTTTCAAGAATATGGCCTAACCCCAAGAAGATGAACAGCTGTAATAATGTCGTCATTAGTTAACAGCACTCATTTGTCTGGGAAGTTTATATATGAGGACGTTCATACGAGATATCGTTGACAAAAACGCTAAGCAATGTCTTAAGACTTAGGGGAGGATAATATTGGTAAAATATAAGAGGCATTACCGTCATTAATACAAGAACTGACTAAAGTTCACGCTATCGTCTTTCACGGGGAACAGTATTCGTTATTGCATTATTTAGATGATACGTTCTTGAAGAAGTAGCCTGGATTGAAGAGCGTGGTAGCTGGGATTAACTCTACTTTCTATGTGTTTTATTTCCTACATTTGCGCTTCGCGGTGTAGTGAGAGAAGATCGCCATGCCGGTCGAGTGGATAGCCCAGGGCCCCATTTCTCAAAGTTATCGTACCGCTAAGACAATCGTAAGTCTATGTTAAAGTATGAGAGTTACGACAGTCGTAAGTCTATGTTAAAGTATGGGAGTTACGACTGTTGTAAGCCTATGTTAAAGTATGGGGTTACGACAGTCGTAAGTCTATGTTAAAATATGGGAGTATGATTGTCATAAGCCAGTCGTAAAGTCTATGTTACGACAGTCGTAGGTCTATGTTACGACGACAGTCGTAAGTCTATGTTAAAGGTATGGGGTATGGGGTTACGACAGTCGTAAGTCTATGTTAAAGTATGGCGGTTACGACAGTCGTAAGTCTATGTTAAAGTATGGGAGTTACGACAGTCGTAAGTCTATGTTAAAGTATGAGAGTTACGACCGTCGTAAGTCTATGTTAAAGTATGGGAGTAACGACTGTCGTACGCCTATGTTAAAGTATGGGAGTTACGACAGTCGTAAGTCTATGTTAAAGAGTATGGGTAGGGGGTTACGACAGTCGTAAGTCTATGTTAAAGTATGAGAGTTACGACAGTCGTCTATGTAAGTCTATGTTAAAGTAGTCGTAAAGTATGGTAGACGACAGTTACGACTGTCGTAAGCCTATGTCGTAAAGTATGGTAGTTACGACAGTCGTAAGTCTATGCTAAAGTATGGGAGGTTACGACTGTCGTAACTCCATACTAACGATGGTAGAACCCCCCACAGTTTAACATAGTCTATGCTAAAGTATGGGAGTTACGATCATCTTAGCGCTACGATCGCTTTGAGGAACGTGGGCAGCTCCTATAGTAACCACAACAGGACAGGTAAATAACGCCGCTGATCCTCCGGAAGATGAAACAACATCTTGCACTCCTTCCCAGTACCAACCCTGTTTCCAACTTCCTCCACGTCGTCTCTCAATCGCCAGCGTTGTTTACAGGAAGATACGGTGATTACAAAACTCTAAGTAACCCCACTGTTCATGAATAATTCTCCTGCATTTCAGAAGCGTGTGGCGGTGTTTTTCTGAAGTAAAGCAATCCTCTCAGTGTCAATCAATTACACAAAGCTCCACTCCGGAACACTGCCTCTGTTCTGTAAAGAGGCATCGTCAAGAAACGGGAATGATGTGACGATGGAAGTAATTTGCTGTAGACATTGAAAAACACCCCAGGACAACCGGGCGATCGGTATACTTCATTTCTTTATAAATGAGGATCTTGAGACCCAACAAACATTTTTCAAACATCACTCAGCTCTGACACTTCTCGTCGAGGGGCCTTTTACCGCGATTGTTAGAAATATTTCAACCATATCACAGCACCGTACTCTATAAATATACTGGGGAATCGAACTCGGACCTTCAGCCAGACAATCCAACGCATAACCCACTGGGCTACTTTACCTTCAGTGATATAATTGTGACTTTGATAAAGACAACGTGGGGTGTTGTATATCAGTGATATTACAAAACGGTGTGATGGCAGTCATCTTTAGGTGATCAAAGAGAGATCAAAGACATCAATACATTAGATCACTATCTATCGTCTACCATCATCAATCTCGATTTGATGGATAATCTAAGTATTTATGCACATGGCTAGACAATACTTCAAACTGGAATGTCAATATGAGATCTGCCTTAAGAAATGCAGACACAGATTGCATTTTACACGTTAATTAAGATTCGTTAGTCTAAAAAATGCCTTGTATTGTTAACATTATCTTGTTCAAAGTGGGGCGGTGGTGTAGCCTAGCCGTGAAAACGTTCATTCGTCACGTCAAAGACGCTAATTCGATTCCCCACATGGGTACAATGTGTGAAACCCATTTCTGGTGTCCCCCGCCGTGATATTGCTGGAATATTGCTAAAAGCGGCGTAAAACTAAACTCACCCACCCTTGTTTAAAGTGCTACAACAGTCTCAATTAGGTACTGGTATCGTACTCTTTCTGTTCAATATGAATCATCCTTGGATGGATTTATTTTAGCTACTAAACTACGTAGTTTGTGTTTAAGCCAGAGGAGTTTCCTCCCAAAGAATATTCAATTATGTACCGTTTTCAAACATCTTTGTGCGTAAGTCTACATTCATGCATTCAATCTGCATGTTTTAGCATGTTTATGTATAAAAGGAAATCCTTTGTGGGTAATAAGGTATTATCATTAAACGCAGCTTCTGCAACCGCTGTGAGATTCTACAGATCCACCTACACGATCTATAAGTTGAACTAGTCCTGGTTACAGTTTCCGATCTGCCTGTACTTGTTATGGTATTGTAATGTTACATGCACAGCGTTTTGGGACTAGCATCTAGCGCTGTGCCATTATGTAGCTCACAGGACCAGGAACCGTGAACGAAAACTGCCGCAAGGTCGTGTTCACCGTCATGCTCTGGAAGCTGTAAGGGGCGGTTTAAGAGTAATATATTTACTTATTTAGTTGTTCAGATATTATTATTGTACACTTTTGTCATTGTATTTGTATATCTGATGTAGGTATAAAGGGGCTGAAAGTGGCGCTGTAACATGACATCTACTTATCGTAGAACGTATATCATTATATGAACGATATTGAATACGTCGGTAATTGAATACACAGGCTAATAACGTTGTCTGTGTGGTGTAGTTAAGGGTTTCCTTAATGGCAAACGTACAGCAGGATTCTCCAATTACAGACATATTACACCATAGGAGTTTCCAAACACCTGGACCACCTGTTTCGACATGCTGTCTTCACGAGATAGTTCTTTCCCTCTCAGCGTCAAGGTAATTCGTAAGTCTCATAATTCTTGGGCATCTTCTAAGATCATTTTGTGGAACAGGACCCCGGAGGATGCTGAGAACATTCGATTCCTGTATTTGTCTGATGAGAAATAAAAGATTCTATGTGTGAACACTTAATTTATTATCGGGGACGATGGGTAGCCTAGAGGTTAAAGCGTTCGCTCGTCACGCTGCAGACCCGGATTCGATTCCCCACATGGGTACGATGTGAAACCCATTTCTGGTGTCCCCGTCCGTGATATTCCTGGAATATTGCTAAACGCGGCGTAAAACCATACTCACTCACTCACTCACTCTAAAAAGTTGCACAGTGTGCCGTGTGCACACCATAGACATTGCTGCAGTCTCGGCGTAGTAATCCGCAACTGTCTCTTCGAAATTCTAAACTGAAAAGTAATAATTCAAGTGTGTATTTATGACTCAACTAAAAACAGCTAGGACGTCTTTTACCAGATCTAATCTTTTTTGAAAGAATAGAAAAAACAACATGAAACCAAAATGGAATCGAGCATTTTTGTTTTAACCATGGAAAGAGTAAAATTGACCGCACTACACAACGTAATATTATCGACACACCTTGTCAGCTTTATTGGGGAGAAAAGCAGCAAGTGATGCGGGTGTCAGGGATTAACAACAAGGGTGACACCTGTGAGCAGGTGTATTGTACTGACAAACCTTGTCAGCTTTATTGGGGAGAAAAGCAGCAAGTGATGGGATGTCAGAGATTAACAACAAGGGTGACAGCTATGAGCAGTTGTATTGTACTGACAAACCTTGTCAGCTTTATTGGGGAGAAAAGCAGCAAGTGATGGGGTGTCAGAGATTAACAACAAGGGTGAAACCTGTGAGCAGGTGTATTGTACTGACAAACCTTGTCAGCTTTATTGGGGAGAAAAGCAGCAAGTGATGCGGGTGTCAGAGATTAACAACAAGGGTGACACCTGTGAGCAGGTGTATTGTACTGACAAACCTTGTCAGCTTTATTGGGGAGAAAAGCAGCAAGTGATGCGGGTGTCCGAGATTAACAACAAGGGTGACAGCTATGAGCAGGTGTATTGTACTGACAAACCTTGTCAGCTTTATGGGGAGAAAAGCAGCAAGTGATGGGGTGTCAGAGATTAACAACACGGGTGAAACCTGTGAGCAGTTGTATTGTACTGACAAACCTTGTCAGCTTTATTGGGGAGAAAAGCAGCAAGTGATGCGGGTGTCAGGGATTAACAACAAGGGTGACAGCTATGAGCAGGTGTATTGTACTGACAGACCTTGTCAGCTTTATTGGGGAGAAAAGCAGCAAGTGATGGGGTGTCAGAGATTAACAACAAGGGTGACAGCTATGAGCAGGTGTATTGTACTGACAAACCGTGTCAGCTTTATTGGGGAGAAAAGCAGCAAGTGATGCGGGTGTCAGAGATTAACAACAAGGGTGACAGCTATGAGCAGGTGTATTGTACTGACAAACCTTGTCAGCTTTATTGGGGAGAAAAGCAGCAAGTGATGCGGGTGTCAGAGATTAACAACAAGGGTGACAGCTATGAGCAGGTGTATTGTACTGACAGACCTTGTCAGCTTTATTGGGGAGAAAAGCAGCAAGTGATGCGGGTGTCAGGGATTAACAACAAGGGTGAAACCTGTGAGCAGGTGTATTGTAATGACAAACCTTGTCAGCTTTATTGGGGTGAAAAGCAGCAAGTGATGGGATGTCAGAGATTAACAACAAGGGTGACACCTGTGAGCAGGTGTATTGTAATGACAAACCTTGTCAGCTTTATTGGGGAGAAAAGCAACAAGTGATGCGGGTGTCAGGGATTAACAACAAGGGTGACAGCTATGAGCAGGTGTATTGTACTGACAAACCTTGTCAGCTTTATTGGGGAGAAAAGCAGCAAGTGATGCGGGTGTCAGAGATTAACAACAAGGGTGACAGCTATGAGCAGGTGTATTGTACTGACAAACCTTGTCAGCTTTATTGGGGAGAAAAGCAACAAGTGATGCGGGTGTCAGGGATTAACAACAAGGGTGACAGCTATGAGCAGGTGTATTGTAATGACAGACCTTGTCTGCTTTATTGGGGAGAAAAGCAGCAAGTGATGCGGGTGTCAGAGATTAACAACAAGGGTGACAGCTATGAGCAGGTGTATTGTAATGACAGACCTTGTCAGCTTTATTGGGGAGAAAAGCAGCAAGTGATGCGGGTGTCAGAGATTAACAACAAGGGTGACAGCTATGAGCAGGTGTATTGTACAGACAAACCGTGTCAGCTTTATTGGGGAGAAAAGCAACAAGTGATGCGGGTGTCAGGGATTAACAACAAGGGTGACAGCTATGAGCAGGTGTATTGTACTGACAGACCTTGTCTGCTTTATTGGGGAGAAAAGCAGCAAGTGATGCGGGTGTCAGAGATTAACAACAAGGGTGACAGCTGTGAGCAGGTGTATTGTACTGACAAACCTTGTCAGCTTTATTGGGGAGAAAAGCAGCAAGTGATGCGGGTGTCAGGGATTAACAACAAGGGTGAAACCTGTGAGCAGGTGTATTGTACTGACAAACCGTGTCAGCTTTATTGGGGAGAAAAGCAACAAGTGATGCGGGTGTCAGGGATTAACAACAAGGGTGACAGCTATGAGCAGGTGTATTGTAATGACAGACCTTGTCAGCTTTATTGGGGAGAAAAGCAACAAGTGATGCGGGTGTCAGAGATTAACAACAAGGGTGACAGCTATGAGCAGGTGTATTGTACTGACAGACCTTGTCAGCTTTATTGGGGAGAAAAGCAGCAAGTGATGCGGGTGTCAGGGATTAACAACAAGGGTGAAACCTGTGAGCAGGTGTATTGTACAGACAAACCTTGTCTGCTTTATTGGGGAGAAAAGAAGCAAGTGATGCGGGTGTCCGAGATTAACAACAAGGGTGACAGCTATGAGCAGGTGTATTGTACTGACAGACCTTGTCAGCTTTATTGGGGAGAAAAGCAGCAAGTGATGCGGGTGTCAGGGATTAACAACAAGGGTGAAACCTGTGAGCAGGTGTATTGTACTGACAAACCTTGTCTGCTTTATTGGGGAGAAAAGCAGCAAGTGATGCGGGTGTCAGAGATTAACAACAAGGGTGACACCTGTGAGCAGGTGTATTGCACTGACAAACCTAGACACGTAATTGTGACGAACTTGGATTCAATCTCACAAACACAGGTGGCAGATCTAGATGCACCAAAGGGCCGCAACTCTGCACACTACACGCACTACACGCAACTCTGCACTACACTTGTCATTCCGGCATACCGGATATAGGTCACGGAAAGAGGCGAGTAGTTACGAATGAGTGAATTGCGGCGCCTGGACGACTGGTCCAGTGGAGAAAGGATGATAACTGAAAATATAATGAACCAAGAAACATATTATCTCCCAGGGGACAATTTTTTCACTGAAGACAAATACACTTTTCATTTCATTTCATTGCAAACTTAAAAACACGAGTTTTGAGCAAGGAAAAGTATTGTCTCCCATGGGGAAAATAAATCTAAATTTTGAGTTTTCGAAAACATTATGTTTCTTTTTTTTTTGATCCATAGGGTATAACCATGGTAATAGCATGTTGAATTTGTCACAAACAGGAGAGTTTCTGAACAAATGGCTTTTTACAGAATTTGATTGTGACGTGTTAATGTATATGTGACATAATGTCCACATCACGGGGCAGTTGTGGTCAACATAACAGTAAAAATCCTGGTTTGCATTTTTAGAACTTAACAGGAAAAACAATAAAAAATCATTAATTTGAGAAATTTCGCCAAAAGTTCTCCGCCTAAAAATGCCAATGAATAAATGCTGGTGATGCAGAAACTGTACTTTCTCATTTACAAACTCCTGTCTGTACAGTGTAGCACTCCGAGATGTCCAGCAAGGTCATCGTTACCCTCCTTGGGTCAGCATGACCTACACAAATTTCATGTATACTCGATACTTTAATTACTTTGTCTGTTTTAAATGTCTTAATATCATGTATGTCCGAATGATTTGTGACCTTCATGGAAAGGTTAGGCTTAAGACAGACACTGCTATCACATCCCGACGTTACATTTTTTTTAATGAAAATAGGTAATTTCTTTGTCATATCTTTTTAATATGTTTTAAAATTATTTTCAAATATTGACATATTCAATATTGAAAAGATCACATTTGAATGAAGAATCAATTATTTCAACTATTATGTTGATACAAATAATGTATTGTCAGATAATTTTAATCGTTTCAGAAAGTTTGTAATGAAATGGAGAAAGCAAAATAATAATAATAAAAATCCCCGGTAAATCTCCATCCATTCCGACGCAGTTTCAGAACATCACGATCTTCATGAAATTATCTTTCTGGACACAATCAACACTTGCCAGTACAGAGATACGAAATATGTTACATCTTGTGTAAAGGTTGTAAATAGGGGTTTAATCAAAGACAGGCTTGTGGTGGTGGTTGTCTGATAGCGCCTATCTGCAGACACAAACACGACAGAACAGCCAGAACACTGCAGCCTTTGTCTTCTAGTGACCACATCGTGGGCAGCACTTCAACAGAACACAGATGACTGGCGCGATTAGTCACCGTCAGCCGGATACGAAAGCGACTCTGTAGAATTGTAATTTAAAAAATATACAGTGTATGAGATATTTCATGTATATTTGTGTATTCTAACACGCAAAACGTGCTTGTAAACATTTGTTCACCAGTCAAGCTTCATATTATACACACATTTGAACATGGATGTAACTTGTGCACTTGTATTTAAATATCTGTATAGCCTCGAACCCCAACGATCCATATTCTCGTATGAGAATACTCCCGAACCGATATTTTACAATTTTGAAAGCTGAATTCTGACATTTGTAATATTATACAACGGATTGATTAAATGCAAAATGATTTATGTAAATGCATGGTTTACATAAACATTTATATCGTTCCATACAATTAGGGATATATTGCTCACAGTACAGGTTTGGATGATATCGAATACAAACACTGAGAAGGGCTAGTACTGTGTAATGTTCATTGGTTCCAACATTGTTTTCAATCTACAATAAACGCTTTTCCACCAGTTTGACGAACATCAGTAAGTTTCGTTTTACTCAGCTATATCACGGCGTGGGACACCAAAAATGGACTTCACACATTGTGGGGGAACGAACCCGGGTCTTTGGAGTGATGAGCGAACGAACGCTTCAACCGCTAGGCTACCCCACCGCTCAGTTTGGCGAGAAATGCATTGGTTGAACGAATGTAGTCTGGGAAGAGCCTCGCTAGACTAACAACTAGTCTCTGAAATGAACATATTTTACTGAAAAAAGTTCATAGTACAAAAAAAATATATAATGAAAAGGAGCCCTGAGACTTTCTTCATTTTCCTGAAGCTGAGGAAATCTAGACTTGTCACATTTTCTAGACCTGCGTGGGCTTTCTTGGATATATTTGCTTCAGAGTATGTACGACAGACTAGAGCATCGCTTGAGAGGCTTATCTACAGAAGCAGGCGACACGAGAATGTTGTGTATAGTTTGACCATTTAGACTGAACTTATCATGTGGTTCCTTTCGTAATCAGCTCCAGGAACCGACGGCTGTGTACATCGTCCTGTCGTGGTTGTCTTGGCTGCCATGTAAACAAGGTGTTTCCTCACCATGGCTCCAAACGTTTGATAACAGCCACATGGAGGCTTATACACCAGACTGGTTGGTAACAGAATATTGAAGATTTTGATTAGTATCATACAGCAACGCATTACTGTACATAGCTGCTGACAGTGACAAAAACATATCTGATGACTTTTCCTATTTCGACGCGTCCTCAACGTCACTGTATTTTTCCACTTGAACAATTGATATTCCCTTGCGTGTGTTTGTGATGATGGGTGCCACCGGTGGGATATCGTCGGGCTACGTTCATCTCGCGAACATCTGGTATCATCACTGTTTGATAGCGATACATGAACACATCCGTGTTATATAGCCGGAATTGGAATGTTTTTAGTCGCCTTTATGTAATTGATCCAATTGCTATCATCTATTTTCTGTGGATGCCGATCTGCAATACACAGATGAGTTACATCTCATACCATGCTATTATGAAATAGCAAATAACACGTCACAATTTAATTCTGGACTCAAGTCCAGAAACTCTCCGCACTGTGGCCACTTTTTGACAAGGGATTCGACAAAATTAAACATGCCGTTGTCATGAATATATGATAAGGATGAAAAAATTAATTTTTCGATTTTTTTTCGAAAACTCAAAATTTAAACTTGCTCTGAACAGTGGCCCATGGGCGAGAATGTTTCGTTTCGCTCAGAATTCACGTTTTGGTGGTTGTAAATGAATGAATATATATTCGTAAGAATCATGACACAAAATTCAACACATTTTGACTTAATTCGGCTAATTTAGAGGGATATTAAAAAATCTCTCCCATGGGCGAAAAACATTTGGCCCGTGGGCGAGAATATTTACTTTTGTTCAAAATACATTATAGCGACTTACTCTTACGCATTCCTTACAAGTATGCAGCAGTTACTTTTAAAGCAAGTTAGCTCAGTGGACACATTAATGTACACTCTGTGTACACATTAAACTAGTAACACCTAGCTCAGTGTACACATTAATGTGTATGTGTTACCTCAGTTTAATAGTAACTGCTGCATATTTGTAAGGAATGCGTAAGAGTAAGTGCAACATAATTGTAAGGCGTAAGAGTACGTGAGGCGTTATTTGAGACTTAAGAGTAAGTGCAAAATAATGGTAAGGCGCGAGAGTAACTGTGATGCGTAGGAGTAAGTGCAGCAACGTAATAGTAAGGCGAAACATTAAGTACAGCGTAATTTATGTTAGGCGTAACAGTTAGTGCAGCATAATTGTGAGGAGAGCAAGTGGAGCGTAAATGTGAGGCGTACGAGTAAAAGCGGAAGCGTAATGGTAAGGGGTAAGAGTAAGTGCAGCGTAAATGTGAGGTGTAGGAGGAAGTGCAGCGTAATATTTATCAGCGTAATAGTAAATTGTAAGGCGTAACAGTAATTACTGTGTAATTGTACCTTAAGGTAACTGTACCTTCAGTGTAAATTCAGTATAATGGTAACTTTGTAGTAATCTGAGTACAAAAGCAATCATCTGGACGAAAGGTAGAAGGACTGTCAGAAACGTTCTACGCGCAATACAGAAAGATTTATAACATAACCAAAGAATATCTTCAACTGAAAGAGTTGACCCCAACAGCAATCCACGCGCATCTTATGTCATCATTTGGGGATGGTGCGTCTTCCAGTACCGATGTCTAAAGATGGGCAGCGGAGTTCAAGACATGGAAAGGTGAAGCCTTAAAGACGATTAAAGATCGGGAAGAACTCGACAGCCACCACAAAGGGAAATGTTGATATACCAAATTGCATGATTATCGCTGATCGACCACTCACGTCTCACACCCAATACAGTTGGCATCCCTCACGAGGGAGCTGGGAATATTCAAAGGAATAACTGGGCATGACAAAGTGGTCGGCACGCTGGGTTCCAAGGGAGAGACTAAACAACAGTCAAAGAAGTAGAAACATCTACGACGTCTCCAACGACGATGTCTGTTTAATCAGTTGGCCCGGGATCATACTGGTGTACCACCCCCCGAAAGGTCAAACCAATAATGGCCAATATTCTGATTATCCGCATAGCAAACGACATGGGAATATAACAGAAAACACTCAAGATGAGAGTTGTTCGAACAGGATAAAGTACCGGCACATACCAATATTGGGGTTTTGATGTCATGATTTTGTATAATGCATGATTGCAGCTTTGAACTCATTGTCCATTCATCCGTATTCGCAAGATTTAGAACCATCAGATTTGCACTTCTTCCTAGACGTATGAAGATCCGGGATACAACTGTACTTCAGTAACCCATGCTTGTCGTAGGAGGCGACTAACGGGATCAGGTGGTCATGCTCGCTGACTTGGTTGACACATGTCATCGTGTCCCAATTGCGTAGATCGATGCTCATGCAGTTGTACACTGTATTGTCTGGTCCAGACTCGGTTATTTACAGACCATATAGCTGGAATATTGCTGAGCGCAGAGTTATTCAGCAAACCAAACCAAACCTAAACGTATGGAAACAAACTTATTAATTAAGAAAAATTAACGATGACGGCATTTCTACTGCGTGTATACTCCTGGACTACGAGGAGAAAGACGTCTACAGCAGAGGATGAAGATACGTTAGTGATGTGTTTTAACAGTGATACTGATACTGTTAAAA